CACACACTTGCAGGGGTGGGCTCCTATAACTGATTGACCTGGCAGTTCTGATCTTGTGTGGAATGTAGAACCACAGTAACAAAACCGGCGGCCTAACAGGCTGCTTAGGATTAGCAGACCCACACATAGTATGATGCCACATGTAATTTTTAAATGTGTAGAAATACTATACACATGTACAAAAAGTATTAAAAAGATGGACTCCATATTAGATTTGTAATAGAGAGACAGGGAGGAGGGGAGGGAATAATGTAGAATTCAATGATATAATATACCATTTCTTTTACATAACTTGTGGAGAAAAATGACAACCATTAGCATTTCTTCATTCTGAGTGATGAATATGAAGGTATTGGTCATATTGTTCTCTTCTCTGTTTTAAAAAAATAATAAAAGAATGAACACTAAAGTCATACATGTTTAACTGGAAATGCTCATAGCAAACTTATTGTCTCATCAAAGTCTAAAGCCCTTAACAGTGCCCCAAATTTTCTTTTGTTAAAATACCCAAAGTAGGCCCAAGATGGAGTTGTTCATTCTAAACCCCACATCAGCAAACCAAAACTTAATTAAGTTTTTATTGTCAATTTTCTTTTTGTAAACAGGTTGTGCTAATGTAACTTTTGTGCTAATGTAATGGTTTTTTTTTTAAGATTTATTTTATTTATGCATACAAGAACTGGGTGCAAGACAGAGAGGGGGGGCATGAGAGGACTCACCAGAGACAGAGTGGGGAGCAGAACAGGTGGATCCATTGAAATCCACTGCTGAGGGGAGCAGCGGGCGAGACAGGAGGGGTCTGCTGCGCCATGTGGGTAGCTTCCTAGTGGGGGATCAAACCCATGCTGCAGAGGCCAGTGATAGCCTGATAGCACTGAGACTTTAACCCCTGCTCTCTATTCTCAATTTTCTCAGAACAGCAAAACTTAGGTCAACAAATCAGCACGAGTCTCCTGGCCCTGCTCCAAGACCTTTTGCTGCATGGAAGGGGATAACCCTGCATAGCCAATCAGCAAATGCCCAGAATAACTTCCCTGTTCCTGTTCACTTTGGTTTCTAAAAATCTCTCTCCTTGTACTTACTATTTGGAGCTTCTATCTCTCTGCTACATTGGATGCTGCCAATTCATGAATCATTGCTTAAAAGCCTACTAGATCAGTATATTGTGGAAAATTTTCTTTTAACACTTTAACACTCAATCTTTCCTTAATGGCATGTCCACATGATCAACTGTACCACAGTAGATTTTGACAGACTTATTATTAATAGGAGAATGCTAGTAATTCATAATATTCAGGGAATTATGGCACCAATTAAAAATGTTTATATTGTACATTAGAATTTAGTAAAAATGTAAGTCTGTGGACAAGAGATTAGAAAGAAATACTGTTCAGGGACCTCCCTGGTGGCACCAGGGGTTAAGCATCAACACCATGAAGCTATCCTTAGCTACTGCAGCACGAGTTCGATCCCCGGCCAGGGAGGTGACCCACATGGCACAGCAGACCTCTCCTGTCTTGCCTGCTGCGTCCCTCAGCAGTGTATTTCAGTAAATCTGCCTGTTCTGCTCCCCATTCTGTCTCTGGTGAATCCTCTCACCGCCCACCACTGGCCTACACCCCAGGTCTTGTATGTATAAATAAATAAATCTTTAAAAAAGAGAGAAAAAAAAAGAAATACCTTTCAAACAAGGGTTATCTTTTTCCTGGGTGACAAATCTCAATTATTTTTCCTTGTAATTTCTATTTTTCCAAATAGAAGACATTTTTAGAATAAAAAATATGCTTTTTTGTAAGTTGGTTTCTTATAAAAAGTTTTCAAGATATAGCTATTTTTATTAATGAGTTTGTTTTCTATTTTCTCTCATGACTAGCATTTTACTTTTATATGTAAATGATTTAAGAATTTAAAACCAGCTCCTACATAATAGATTAGATGGATCCTCACCTGTGATGTATAAACATTAAAAGCTTTCAAAATAGGGATCCATTCCAGAAAGAATGTCAGGACATTATCCACTGCAAGTGTCCAACTAATCTGGGGACCTTAAACCTTCTGAGGCTTACTGAGTGTGAGGAGAATCAGAGCGCACCAATAATCCTGCTATTTGCGTGCTCTGGGGATGGGGAGGAACTGGCAACTTCACTGTCTTGGTTTGCATGATAAAGGAAGGTCACAGAAAGTCAATACAATTGAGAGCAGCTCCCCAGATGGCAGAAAAGATCAGCAAGAAACTGGCAGAAATGGCTCAAAATTTGACTGCAGCTCTGTAAAGAATTCTCTCTTTGGAGATTTCACTCGTCCAAAAGGTTGCTACTTATAAAATATAACAGAAATTTAAAAACCACGTGCTCTATATCAACCTAGCTGCTTCTTGTTCTCCATTACATGGAGAGAGTGTTACAGGGCAGAAAGAGGGGCACCCCAGACCCCACAAACCTGCCTGCTCTAAGTAGGTTCTGCCATCTGTCTCATCAACACAAAACATACAAGATTTTAATGGGAAGGAACTTTAATACAATTAGTGAACAATACAGAAAAGACAAAGAATATAGTTTCTAAATCAAGCACCCAGTTACCCATCCCCTCGTGGGTAAAAGTCCACCCAAACAGGACTGGCCCAGAGCAAGGCCCCAAAGCCTGCCACAAGTCTAAAGCACCTTCCAGTGGGGACCCACAGAAAAGGATCAGAAACCACCAGACAAGTCTGGAAGGAAAAGAGCAAAATCAAAATCAAGACAAAACCACCACTGTCACCTCCCACGGGTCTCTCACCCACATCTGTGTCACCCCGTCCACGACCAAAAGGCAAGTGCAGTTTCTTCACGTGTCTCTGGGCTCCATGTGCCTCCTCCACGCCTCCTTCTGGCTCCATCCTGCTTCCTCCTTCCTCAGTCTCCTCTGCAGCCTCTTCTCTCCCTGCTCAGCTCCACCCTCCCTTGGGTGGGGCAGGAAACCTGGAACCTCCCCCTTTCCTGGGGACCACCCTTTACACTACCCTTTAATAGCTATTCATTTTTATCCTGAGAGTGATCTTGCAAAGGAGGTAGGGTGAAGTTTATTTTTCTCCCTTTACAAATAAAGAGATTTCAGATATACAAAATTTAGGTGATCTGTACAAATGTGTGCAGTTAATAAATGGCAGAGTATGAACTGCAACCATGATGTGTGATGAATTAGTTCCCATCTCAATTATATAAAGCAAATACTCAATACATATTGTTGAATGAATCTATGATGTGTTTGTGTTTGGTTTTCTCTGATTGGTCATTCTCTTGCCATTCCACAATAAAGCCAGTTCTGGGCCAATCCTGCTTGGGTGGACTTTTACCCATGAGGAGACGAGTAACTGTGTGCTTGATTTAGAAACTATATTCTTTGCCTTGCCTGTATTGTTCACTAATTGTATTAAAGTTCCTTCCCATTAAAGTCTCACATGTTGATGCAGCAGATGGCAGAACCTATTAAGAGCAGGCAGGTTTGTGGGGTTGTTATAGGACAGGGAGAGGGGCAGCCCAAGCCCTGCAAACCTGCCTATTCTAAATGGGTTCTGCCATCCGCCGCATCAACACAAAACATATAAGACTTTAATGGGAAGGAACTTTAATAAAACTAGGAAACAATGCAGGTAAGGCAAAGAGTCTAGTTTCTAAATGAAGCACCCAAAGTTACCCGTCCCCTCGTGGGTAAAAGTCCATCCAAATGGGATTGGCCAGAGCAAGGCCCAAAGCCTGCCACAAGTCTAAAGCATCTTCCAGTGGGGACCCACAGCAAAGGGTCAGAAACAACCAGACAAGCGGAAGGAAAAGAGCAAATCAACATCAAGATAAAAGCT